GGAGGGCCTTTAGAACAGAGAATGTCAGAGCTGGGGGGGCCTTTAGACCACAGGATATCAGAGCTGGGAGGGTCTTTAGAATAGAGAAAGTCAGAGCTGGAAGGGACCTGAGAGAACATCTCGTCCCACTCCCTTTTTATAGCTGAGGGAAATGAGATCCTTGACCAGGGGTAACTGGGAGAGCCTGGACTCAGACCCAGGTCCCCCGACTCCAAATCCAAGGCTTTTCTCAGCAGCCTTAATTTCTTTGGCTTTAAAACAATTTTAAATTTAATATCCATCCACAAAAGAAGCAAACTGACAAACAAGATAAAATTTCATATCAAAAAACCTTACATGTTTAGCAAAACAATACCAAACAAAGGAACGACGCTGTTGTTGGGTCATTTCAGTCTTGTGTGATTCTTCGTGACCCCATTTGGGGTTTTCTTGGCAGAGATACAGGAAGGGCTTGCTATTTCTTTTTCCAGCTCATTTTACAGATGAGGAAATTGAGGCAAACAGGGTTCAGTGACTTGCCCAGGGTCACGAAGCTAGTGTCTGAGGCCAGATTTGAAGTCAGGAAGAGGAGTCTTCCTGATTCCAGGTCCAGCAGCTGAATCAACACTAACCCAACAGCAATGGATGTGCTCTGTGTGCGAGGTCCCTTCCAAACCTGCCTCGGGCTCTGCTTCCTTTGGTTGTGCTTCCATCAGTTAGCTATAACTGTAGTCAACGTGTATCCTGTTTCTGGATGGTTGATTTTGCCTTATGCCTCTTTATCTGCCTCTTTTTACGGTTCCTGTTTACCCCCCTCACTATTTACTGTTTTGTTGTTTAACCAGAGCCCTCATTTCAAGATGTCTGGTCTGGCACTCCGCTATGGCACAGGAACGGCCCCGGGCTCTCTGATGCTTTTGCGGCTGAGCACAGAGCCTAGAAGCTCTTAACAGCAGCCAGGGGACAGACTCGGGCTCTGACACAGGAGGACTGGCCTTGTGCAGTACGGAGAGGCTCAACACCCGAAGGTAGGCTGCTAGGGAACAAGTCTGTCCTGGCATGGCAGAAACAGGACCCACCTCAATGAAGTCACAGGCATGCAAGATTTTGGCGGTCTAATATGAAGCATGGGACCTCACTCTCGACAGGCTCTTTCAGCACATTTGGCTCAGTGACCAGTGCTTCCCTGCATGTCTGTCTGTCAAACCTGACTCCTTTCGGGAGGTGACATGGATGGCTGCTCAAACATGCTGTCAGAAGAACAGAAGCTCTGGGAGACAGGTTCTGTCAAGCTGGAAAGGTTTCTAGAGTGAGCCCAGCATGGATGATCATTTGAAAGCCTATTGCCTTGATGCCACTCCAGCATACCATTGCCCATTTCAGGTACTGTTGCTTTCCTGGTTTCCCAGCTCTTCAGAGAGTCATACAATTTTCACAGCTGAAAGGGGCCCTTACAGCTGAATCTAGAGTAGGGCTGCTTCTCCTCACCGGTGTCCACAACCCCCGCAGCAATGGCCACCTGGGGATGTCTGGAGGACAGCCCTTCTCAGAACAAGGCTTTTTAAGGTAAAATACAATAGAGAGGAGTACAAAGGAAACCAATTCTTTTGAAATACAGATATCAAAACATTTTTTAAAAAATAATTCAGGGACTCCACATGAAGAAGCCATGATCTAGATCTCATTTTCCATACAGGAAACTGAGGCTGAGACAAGAGGTGTGTTTTGCCTAGGAGGGAGTCACACAGCAAGTAAGGAAAGAACTGGGACCTGAATGAAGCCCGCCAGGCCTTCCAATTCCCAAGCGGAGGCTCTTTCCACTGTGCAACACTATCTAATGCGCCCAGAAAAAAAAAAAAAAAAAGATTTTCATATTGAAGCCAGACAGGTTTTCAAAATGACAGGGGCCAAATGCTGGGCTGCTAACCAAGCTGATGTAGCCTCACATGCTTCCTAAAACAACCTGAAATCTAAATGAGATAGAGAGGATAGGCTATGGAACTTGGAATTCACTGTAATAACTCACATCACCTCTGCAAGATGCCTACTCAGAAAGGAGTCCTAGTGATGACGGGAGGATCCGAGAATCTGGTTGGAAGAGAGCTGAGAGATCAATCCAACTTGATCACTTTACAGATGAGGAAATTGAGGCCCACAGAGGCTAAGGGTCATGCCCAAGGGTCAGACAATGTCTTCTGACTTCAAATAGTCTTTCCACTCCACACCAAACGAGTAGTGAGTCAAAATCTGCTCTGTTTGACTGCACAAAACATTTGCTCAAGGGGGCCACCCAGAAAATTCCCCTGCCCAGGAGAACCTTTCCACCCTCTAGCCTTTAAACATTCCCCACCCGCCCGCCCACTCCCAATCTGCAGATTTCATAGCCTTTCTATTTCTGATGAGGAGCTGGAGGCAGGATTTCAACAAATGAGGACAGAAACCAGAGAGGAGCTAAGTCGTCATCCAGGAGACACAGACCTCTTCTTTGTTGTCCAAGGGCCTGAGTGGCTGGTCTGGGTGGTAAGTACAGTATGTGCCAGAGGCCAGCAGCTCTTGCTTGATTTAAAATGCAAAAAGCCTTGCCAAGTGACCTGTTCTCCCTGGCAAATGCACAAACAATCAAACATATGTCAAACATTATGAGATTCTACTCTTCTTACGCTAACAACCAGGCCGCCCTTCAGTGTGTGTCCTCCTGCTAGGTACGAGGCAACATTCTCAAGTCTATTATTTTCATATGTGTATATTCTACTCCATTTGTTTAGACTCAGTACAGTTTTGAGGTACATTAGCCTTGGGAGTGCTTTGAAAGGATTGCCAAGGGCACTCTGGCAAAGGCACTGAATGAGCACTGCTGGAGGCTGCTGCAGATTCGAGCTGATAAAACGAGGAACAGAAAATAGAAGGTGTCTCGAGGAGGAGATCAAGAGACTCAGTGAACCCCCATCTGACTTCCAGACCTCACGCACAGCACCTCTACTGGGAGCTAGCAGACCTATTTGGGAATGTTCAGAGGCTAGTGCCCTGTCTCTCAGGGTAATGTGTTCATCTAATTAGCAAAGCCCTTCTCATCAAGCCCTCCACATGCTCCAGGCCTGCATGGTGGCCGCCAGAAAGGAAAAGGCCCCACTGTACTTGGCCAATATCACGGGAGCATAGCTTTAAACCTTAGAAACCATAACGTCCAATGCATATGGAAACTGAGGCTTAGAGAAAGGAGGAGACTTGTCCAAGGTCAGAAAGAGAGTTAACAAGTAGAACGGGGATTTGAATTCAGAACCTCCGACTCCATAGTCAGTCATTTCTCACGAGTCAGACAAAGCAAGTGGCAAATGCTCTGCGCCCCGAGCACTGAGCTCCAAACCCCCAAGCCTCAGCCTGATCCCTAGGGGAATCTCCAAGTCCTCATCACACTGATGAAGTGCAAGCAGGCAAAGTAAGGAGGTAGGGACCACCAGGCCTTTGGAGACTCTGTCTTCAGGAAAAGAAGCAAGTTCTAGACATATCCAGGCTCCCGTGGGCACACCGTAAAACCCAGGACAGAACTGGAAGGCGCAGCTCAGCGTCCAGTGCCCCGCAACAGGCCCCGCTCTGGACCTTCTCTACAGACCACATCTGGACCCAACGTGTATGCTCCAAGGTTAAGCTGGTCCCATCTCTCCACCAAGTCACACCATCTCACGGCAGGAAAGCCACAGAGTTCAGCTAATCCAATCCTTCCCTGAAGCAGGAATTCCCTCTACAACAGCTTCCAAATCTGCTTCCCTATAACTATCCCCTCCGCCCCCACCTCATGGATCCCAGGTCTCCCTTCAAGGGTTAAGCAGAACAAGTCTGCTCCTTTTTTCATTCAGAAGTCGTTCAAATATGTGAAGACAATAGAATGGCCCTCTAAGGAACCCCCTTTCCAGGCACAGACATCCCTGGTTCTTCCAGCTGGCCCTCACAGAGCATGGTTCTGAGCTGCTGCTGCATTCTGACAAGCATGCTCTGGGCATGCTCCAGCTTGCCAACATCCCTCTCAAAATGTGGCACCCAGACCTGAACACAGCAATCCAGATGTGAGCTGACCAGAGCACAGGCCTATCACCTCTCTTGTTCTCCAAGAAAGCAACAGAGCAATTCCAGACTTGGAGATTTCTTTGAAAGTTCTGCGAAAATTCAGGGCCAGAGCTCTCTTTCAACAAGCTTCTGGGATGATATATTCACCTGCCTAATGGTCTGTTGTTGCTCCAAGCGAACGAGTAACATCTAAACGACTATCTCCAGATGCACATTACATCAAAACGCCCACATCTGTAGAACACCCTTCAACCCTAAAATGGTTGAACTGCATCTACACATGCACACTCAGTGGAATCCCTGCCTCGCCTTCTATCCCCCTCACTGTGCTGCCCTACGCCACGGAGTGTCCACACAAGCCGTGCTGTGCACCGGGGTCAGGATACCCCTCCCTTCATCAAGCTCCCTTACCCTGATTGGTCGTGCCGATGCCCAGGTGGGTCAGATTGGCTGCCAGGTTGCCAGTGCTGTTGGAGCTGCTCAGGGCTGGAAACGTGGACTCCTCCGGATCCAGAGGGGTTGGGAGAGGAGAAGGGAAATGGATATTCGTCAGGTCAGGGAGGGAGCCCCCTGTGTTATGGGTGGCAGGAATTAAGGTTGTAGTGTTTTCCTGGTCAGTGGACGGGAAGATGCTAAATGAGAGGGAGAGACCACACAGAGAACAGCAACAGTGAGCTTCGAGGGGCTGCCTGCCATTGTGTTCTTCTTCCAGGCCCTAATACAAAAGAGAATTTAGAACCACAGAACGTTAGAACTCTAGACGTTAGATCAAGAAGGGCCCTCAGAACTCAGAATGTCAGAGAGAGCAGAGGCCTTAGAGAGCATCGACTCCAACTACTTAAGTCAAAGGTGAGGAGACGAGGCCCAGAGAATTGGAGCAATTTGTCTAAGGTCACAGAGACCGTTACAGCAGAGCTGGGACGTCTGAGACCCCAAGCCTCCCAACTCTCAGCTTGGTACTTTTTCAACACTGAAATAAGGCGGGGTTCACAAAACAATCAGATATAAGAACTGATACCAATATTATTAGATACAACACCTCTTGGAGCATATTTACCCTATTAGGCCAAAGGAGGCTGTGCTCTTCTCCCCAGTCAGACCTGCAGAACCTCAATACGGTTGCTAGTGTCCACCTACACATCATATTTTTTCAGAGATTTCCTTTTAGCAGTATAGCCTATATTATTAAAACCAAATCAGTCATCTCAGCAGTTGCCCAGAAATGCATGGCTTTCTTGAAGCCCTATCTCGACACAGGGGGTCACCCTTTCTCCCCCAGTCCTCTGGGCAGCTGGAGGCAGGGCAAAGGGCAGCAGAGGGGCTGCAGGCGCTACTGCTCCGGCTGCCCAGGACCGCAGGCTCTGCTTTCAGCAGCACAGTCATCCCCTCAGGAGCATGGCGTCCTGCTCTACTCCATGCAGACTCATCACCTGCTCAGGCTCGCTGCTTTTAAAACTAGCCGCTAAGCAGATGTTGTTTTAAGTGAAGACAAAGTCTGCCCCTCCCAACAGCTCTAAGGTGCTGCACTACTGCCTCTCTACCTAATGGCCACGGGTGCCTGGGGTACGTGTGTGTGTGTGTGTGTGTGTGTGTGTGTGTGTGTGTGTGTGTGTCCCACGCGCCAGGAGCATGCCCACAGGAGTGCCAACGACGTAAACTGAGACACACCCAAGACTTACTTGATTCCTGGGACTTCACAGGATTTAGGTCTTGATGACCCTGTCTGAAATAAAACACAAGACCACAGTGAAACCCGGCTCGAGAAGGCTGCATGCATTCCTCAGCACTCAGAGCCACTAAACCCACAGTGTCCCTGGTCTTCTGTGACACTTTCAGGTCGCCATGTCCAAGTTAACACCCTTAGAGATCATCCCCTATCATTTTACAGATGAGAAAATTGCAGCCCAGAAAGGAGTAACTTGCCCAAGGTCACACTGCTCATGAATGTGAGAAAGCAGAACTCCAAGCCAGATCCTGTTAAAATGATCTTTCTGATGCCAAACAAAGCCTGCATTTTCACACTCCTCAATCCTGGATATGTGGCCCTGCTTCGGAACATATGGCAGCGTGCAGGCCACATCCTGGGTCCCCAACTCTGGCGTCCCCCTAAGGTGGTTTAAGCTAAAGCTCCAGAGCCAGGGTCTTCCAGAAATAAGTCAATTCACTGTTTTTAAGCTCTCCCCTCTGAAATGCCCAGGAGGCAGCAGATGGTCACAAAGACTGGAAACTGGCACCTGCCCCTTGCCCAGTCATGGGGCAGGGAAGACAACGGCTTAGGAAAACCCCACCTCAGGCTGGAGCCCTTGAAGGAAGGGGAGCATTTTGGATCTCTACATCAGGAAGTCTCCAGGAATAAGGTCACGTCATCAGCAAAGAAAGAGTCCTTCTAGGAAGGTGTGATGAGGTCGGCTTGGGGAAGGGCAGGAGCTCCCTAGCGAAAACTTCAAAAGGGCATTTGTGACCACTCCTCCACTACTGCACAATTAAACTACTCTCCGAGTGCAGCACAGGGTCGATTTGTGCCCATGGTGAAAAAGAGGGAAGAGGCACTTGGCAGGGGAGTAACAGCACCGTGAGCCGTGGGGGACCTTCAAGCAGTGGGCCGAGCTTGGGGATTTAGAGGTTTGGGCTACCGGGGACCTAGTATAAAAATAGCAGCTGAGGTCTCTACAGAAGCATCCCTCTTGTTCCGCTCTCACAGGAGGAAAGGAACCTGTAAAGGAAAGACCATTCGATTCAACTGAACATTTATTACATGCCTACTTGACACCAGCCACTGTGCTGGCTATTGGAGATACAAAGATAAGGACAGACCAATGCTTGCCCTCAAGGAGCCTACCTTCTACTGGGACAAACCAATGTGAACTCCTGTAAGTCCATACACAGCATATACAAAGCTCTACCAAGTGGGGAAAGGTAAGAGGGAGGGGGAAAAGGCCTTGTCTGCAAGAGGCACATGAGCTGAGGGATTCCAGAAACGAGAGGGGAGGGGAGGGGAGGGAGGGTATTCCAGCATAGGGGAATATGTGCCTGTGCGCAGGCCCAGGGGCAGAAATGGGATGTCACTCATAGGAAACATCAAATGGGCCAGTGCGGATGCAATGGAAGTATGCAAGGGGGAGCAACGTGGAATCAGGCTGGAAATGCAGGCTGCAGATAGTTTTATGCAGATAGCAGACAGATTCAGTGCCTGACAGAGAAGTTTTTAGTTTCTCCTAGAAAATAGGGAGCCACTGAAGCTTCTAGAGCAGAGTAGTGACATGGTTAGAGTGACGCTGTAGGAACAGGAGTCTGGCAGTTGTACAGAGAACGGCCTGTGGGCTGGATAATGGGGGTCTCTAGCCCAGGGGAGACTTGGTGAGGACTTGGGCCAGGGTGGTGGCCAGAACTGGTAACTGGTAACTGACAGGAAGACCAAAGAGTCAAAGATGACTTCGAGGCTGAGAAGCCAGGTGACTGGGAGGAATTGTGGCAACCTCCACAGAAATAAACAAGTCAGGAAGAGGGCGGCTCCCCTAGGGACATTTTCAGATGTGTCCCAGACATTCAGGACAGCACATGCACTGAAGGAGGGACATGGCCAGTAGTACAGCAAAGGAGGCTGGGAACAAAGATGGGGAGGAAGAGAACCAGGAGCAGGAGGACAGTATACCTGGAAAGGGACTCATCAACAGGGCAAGATGCAGCAGTGAGGAAGAAGGGGGAGAAAAGAGGATTGGAGTCAAGGGTAGGGCATGGCTGGTGACCTGGGGAGAGAGCCTTTTCAGTAGAGGGAAGGCTCAGAAGCCAGATTGCGAGGGGCTGAGAAGTGAGTGGGAGATGAGGAAGTGAAGCCACATGTAGACGAGCCTGGTCACGAAAGAGAGGAAAGACACAGGACAACAATCTGAGGGGCTGTTTAAGGCTGGGGCAGATCTGGGCATGTCTTTAGCTAGCAGGGAAGGATTCAGTAGATAAGAGACACTGAAGTTTGAGACAGATGAGGTATGAAGGAAGGAACTGGCTTCTGGAGCAAAGGGGAGAGGATGGAAGGAAGGGGCTCAGCCAGGAGCATGGCCACTTCCTCCTCCAGGCCTAAAGCAAAAGAAGAGGGAAGAGGCAGGAGGGAGAGCTCAGAACAGACAGCTTCTATTTTCTTGATAAAGTATGAAGCTAGGTCCTCTGCTGAGAATGAAGGGGTGTCGTTGAGAGGCCTGAGAAAAGAAAAGAAGGTTTAGAACAGACGCTGTAGGGAGTGTGATGGAGTTGACGAAGGAAGAGTAAAAGGATTGCCCTGCAACAGTGAGGGTCCAGTAGAGGTTCATTTTCATAGAGCACAGATTTAAGAGCAGAAGGGGACCCTAGAAGTCATCTAGTCCAACGCTCTCATTCTTCCTATGAGAAAACTGACGTCCAGAGACCTAAGTAATGCAATCCCCCAGCTGATAAGCAGCAGAAGTGGGCCGAGAGCACAGAAACAAATGTCTGTCTGTAGCAGACCATGTCACGACATGGGGTGACTTCTCCCTTTGGTTCTACAGCACAGGAATAGAAAGGAAAAGGCAGATGGTGGTGGGCAACTGGGGCTGCAGTCTGGAAATGTACGACTGCTACATGAGTAAGGGGGCCAGGGCTTCAAGGGACAGAGGACAGCACAAGACTGAATGGGCTAATACTGGCAAAGGAGGCCAGGAAGGGAGGGAAGGAGGGAGGGAGAGCATGACCGAAAGTCACCCTGAGGATAAAGAGAAGGTTGGGAGGACTGAGGCTGACAGGCAGGTGAGATGGGAGGATCAAGAAAAGCAATTCAGAGTTCTACAGAGTACGAGCAGTTACCAGGTGATAATGAAATTGAGGGTACGATGACCTGTGTGTGTGCCTGATTAGAGTGAAGGGGAAGGTCATGGAAGCTGAGAGGCTGATGAGCTAGGAGGCAGGGTGTTTGGGGTGGGGAGGCAACATGTATACTGATGTCCCCAGGTATAAGGGGTGAAGTGAGAGGAAGACTGTGCTGAATTCCTTGAGAAAGAAAGTGATTCAGTCCCAATGACTTGGGGCTGATAGATAATAGCAGCCAGGATCTGGAGAGGCTAGGTATCTTCCCCCTATACCAGGCTGCCTCTCAATGCTGTAAACCACAGCCTGGCTAGTGATGGCTTAGATCTGTCTGACAAGCCTGTCACACTGGGTGGTGATCCCTCCTGACTCAGCGGAAATGGCCTGGCGTCCAGGGAGGAAGCTGGGGCACTGATGTCTGGCAGGAGAAGCCCGGGCTCCCAAGCCTCAGAGGAGTGATGCTGGGGCACCTTTGGGAACACTCCTAACTCAGAAACAACTCTCCTCAAAGTGACCAGAAATCCTGATTCAACTGTTCAAGGGAGAAACCAGTGTCCACCCCCAAATGCTTGGGGAGATATTCTTGGAGGCCAGAGCTGTGTTAATAATAGTTGATTTTGCCAGTATTACTTCAAACAAAACACCAAAACCAGCCAGAAATCAACAACAGATTGTCTGAATTGATGCCTATAGCAAAGCCAGAGCTGCAGCCTGTCTTTTTACACTGGAGCTGAGCGTTCTGATTCTCGACCCAGCTGCTCCCCCGTGGTCCGTTCCTCAGCCTCCACCCCAACACCCCCGAGCAGTCCCCCCAATGCCTTCTGGCGGTACGATATCTGCTCTCAGAGCACGTCGGGCTACGTTTACACACTGACGCTCCAATAGGTACCATGCTATGGATCTATGTCCTTTCTATTTTCTTCAGCACTGAGCATAAGTACACCTCAGACCCAACCTGGGAGACTCATCAGCTCAATAACAGAGAAGTCTTTACACAGTTTTATAAACTAAACATAAGACAACCTCCAAAGAAAAGGATGGATCAACTATGGTTCCTCTATGATTTAACTGATCCCAACGTCAGAAATACTGTGGTGATGGTGAGACCCAAGAGGCTGGGGGACACAATGAATGGCTTTCAAGGCCAAAAACTAGTGGATTTGACTGGGGACTGAAATTCACCAAACTGCTCTTTTCTCTCATTTCTCTATTTTCCTTGCTCTTTGGGGTTAATGTTTTCCTCAAGGAATTGCTCATAAAACAATTCAATGTTCATTAACATTTCTGAAGCTCCTCCTGAATGCAAGATGTGTGCTAAGAGATAAAGAATAAATAAGTCATGATCCCTTCTTCCACTGGGGGTTGGGGTGGGCATTAATCCATCCACAAGCACTTAGGAAGGGCCAACCCTGTTAGGTGCAGAGTTAGCTCAGCAGTCTTCAAGAGAAGGCTAACAATAACACCAAGACCAAGTTACATACCTTGCCAGATACCCCACAATCACCTCTTTTCCTTCTCTCATCTTTAATCTTGCCCTGACTGTGAGTTCACTCCCCTCTGCCTACAAACATGCAGACGCCTCACCCATTCTGAAAACTCCTTAAAGCCATACCATCTCCTATGTCCCTCTACACTCCTTCAGAGACAAAAATCCTACGAAATGCTGCCAACATTTCATGTCTCCACTTCCCCTCCTCTGACGAGCTTCTAAACTCTGCAGTCTGGCTTTGGAAGCTGCTCTCTCCAAAACGCCCAATGATCTCCTAATTGCCAGATGCAATGACCTGTTCCAAGTCCTCATTCTTCATTCTTCTTGACCTCTACAGCCTTGCAACTGCTGACCAGCCTCTCCTCCTGGATCTTCTCTCTTTTGTGGGTCTTTCTGCATTCATCTCCTTCATTGCCCTTTGCTGGATAATTATCCACATCATGCCCCTTAATCGTGGGTGAATAAAAAGGCTTGCTCACAGGTCCTCTTCTCTCTCAACACACTCCTTCAGGGACCTCCTCAGCTCTCACCTTTCAGCAGACGACTCCCAGATCTACATATCTAGCCCTAGTCTCTCTTCTAAGCTCGAGGCCCACATCATCAACTGCTTGTAGGCATTACAAACTGGATGCTCTGTTGGCATCGTAAACTCAGCACGTGTCTAACAAGAACTCACTGTCTTCCTCTGCCCCGTGCCCTCAGGCTTGTCCAAACTCATCCAAACCTTCCTCTTTTGCTGAGGGTACCATCATCCTTCTGGTTATCTCAGCCAGCAACCTGAGAGCCACCCTTGATTTTTTGCCCCACAAGCCCAACCAGCTGCCAGTTCTTGCTGCCTCTACCACTGCAGCGGCTGTCAGATAAGCCAGCACATTCAGGCCCTCATCAACTCACTCCTGGACCACGAGAAGAGTCTCCCTATGGTCTTCCTGCCTTAAGTCTCTCCTCCACACACCTGCCAAATTGACATTCTAAGCAGAGGGTGTCATGTCACTCCCCTGCTCACTACACTCACCTCTCAGACCAAATGCCTTTGTTTGCCATCAAAGGGCCTCCACAGTCTCGTGCCAGCTCACCTGGCTAGCCCTATAACATATTTCTCCCTCCCCCACGTGCTCCAGTCTGGCCACACTGGCCTTCCTTCTGCTCCTTGCCTGGGGCCTTCTCTCTCCCACCTCTCTGCCTCTGCACAGGCTGTCCCCCAGGCTAGGATGTTTTCCCTCCTCCCCTGTCTCTGAGAATCTGTAGTTTCCTTCAAAGTTGAGCTCAAAGACCACCTCTTCCATGAGGCCCTCCTTGATCTCTCCGGCTGCCAATGCCTCATCTCCAAATGAGCTTTGCTGTTTTGTATTTATTTATTTATTTTACATATTCTTGTATGCATATTCTTATAAACTTCTTGAGGACAGGGACCAGTCCATTTCTGTCTCTGTATTCCCAGCACCCAATACAGTGCTTGACACATGAGAGGCTCTCCCTCAATAAACGCTTGCTGATGGAATGATCGAGCAATTATTTGAATATAGAAGGAACACAAAACAATGAGCCCACTGGAGACCAGAAGACTTTACAAACTTTGCTCTTCAAAAGCCGCTAAACTAGTTTGCCCCTAGGCAGGGCTCTGTTTGTCCTCCTTGGCTCACCCTGGCTTAGGGGACATTTGCTTTCCTACCAACCTTCTCTCCACAGTGAAGTGGGCTGTGAACAGCTCTCACTAGCTGGTCCTCCTGAGCAGCTAAGGCCTCCTCCAGCCATTCAGAATCTTCTAAGCGGTTTACCCTAGCTGGAAACTGCGATGGCCCCTTTCCTCCCCCAGATCTTGGGAAGGCTGGGCATCAACACTAGAGACTGTTCAGAACAAAGCTCACCCCTGATAGATGAGGAAACCCCATCCCTGAAACAATCCCCAAGTCTTTATCAGAGCACACCGTGGACACCCAGCCTGGCCTGGGCCCTGGACCTGACAAGCACCACACAACGTAACAAGTGGCCGACTTTTCTATAAGTCCTTTTCCTTTTCTTATAATCCAAATTCGGTCCGTCCTTCGAGGCCTCGCTTTCTCCAGGAAGCAGTTCTCAACAACTGCAGCCAATGCTTCTGTCTCCTCTCCCTACGTTTGAGCCAGGGGGGCAGGGGGAGGGTATCGCCTCCAACAGCACTCCCCACTATGTGAAACCACTACAGAGATCTCTTAGGGAACTCCCACTTTGTCTCGTGACCCTCTCTACAACGTCTCTGACGAGGCATAGTTTAGCTTCTGTGTGAACACCTGCAAAGACAGTGAACTCATCATTTCGCCGGGCAGCCCCCTCCCCTGCTAGACAGCTCTTTCTGCTTCTGAGTCCTTCAGAGATTAGTCTAGTCCTGGGGCCCTGGACCTCTCAAACAGTGGGTCTGGTGAAGTCTACGGTGCCTTTCTCAGAGCCACATTTTTAAGTGCAGAAAATAATATGCAGAAGGTAACAAAAGGAAACAATACTTATTGAAATAAAGATGTCTTTTTTTTTCCCATTCAGGTCCAGGGATCCCCTGAAATCAATGCACAGACCCCTCTGCGGCCCACAGGTTACTCTCCCCAGCAGCATTTCCAGCTTTCCTCTCCCATGCAGAGGCGATACACTAGGCTTCATGAGAAAGTTCTGTTTCCCAAATCTCAGAATCTCATAAATTCTTACCTTTTTAGAGTCCCACACTTGTTTTGAGAGGTTTTTGTCTGTCTCAGAGGTGGTTTCCTCCATTCCTGGGACTGTCAACAATAAGACTGGGGTTGGAGGAGTTGGGGGGGGGAGAAAAAAAGAAGGAACATGAGACAAAACCTGTTAATAAACTGTCTAGGGGCATTACTTAAGAATTTTACTTATAGCAGTAGGTATTGTTCTTATTCAGATTATGGATATACTGTAATTATTGAAACAACAATAACTCCTTTGGGCAAGAAAAAAAATTTTATAAAAGGATTTGGTACAAAAAACCCACAGAAACTAATGTATATCAAAAGAGATGGAAAATATTAAGTCCTTGAGTCTGCGAGTTCTGTATATGTTTCATTCTCTGTTTAGCCCAAGCTAACCCAGGATGGAGGCTGAACATCTGGTAGGCCAGATGTGCTATTTACCTTCAGAACCCCTGGAATTGACCCTGACGCCAGGCAAGTGTGACGAGAAGTGGGGTGAGAGTAAAGGGGAAACTCCTACCTCTTGAAATCTGATGTTTGCTACAAGCTTAGCTGCTTCCTTTCATGAATTAGGGGGGAACCCCACTTCCAGCCCCCTCCTATGAGAACCTCCTACTTCTGGCAGGCTGACTCTGTGCATAAACAACAGAAGGAGAGAAGCCTAGACATGGCTTCCGAGGAATGGGACAAGACTGCTTGGATCCTGATATCTCAGAAGCAGAGCTCTGCAACCACAAGGGGCTGGGACCGGGAGTCTAAAGACTGAAGGAAGAGCCGGCTTTGCCTCGTTCCCAGCTGTGTGACCTTACACAAGTTCCCTAAACCTATTTATGAAATGAGAAATCCAGATCAAACTGGAAAAGAGAATACAAAACAGAACCAGCCAGTAGCGAAGGGCTGTAAGGAGTCCCGGGCATTGATTCACTGCTGACGTCTACAAAGCAGTGTGGAATTATGGGAGAAAAGTCACCAAACTGTTTACTACTTGGACCTAGCAGTGCCCCAAGGAAGGCATTCATTGTAGCACTTCTTGTAATAGGGGGCAGCTAGATGTGCACATCTAGAATGCTAGGCCTGGAGTCAAGAAGACCCGAGTTCAAATCCAGCCTCAGACACAACTTACTAGTTGTGTGACTCTGGGCAAGTCACTTTACCTCTGTCAGCCTCAGTTTCCTCAAATGTAAAATGTGGGTCATAATAGCACCAGGGTTATTGTAAGGATCAAATGAGATGATTATCTGTAAAGTACTTAGCATAGTACCCGATACATAGTAGGTGTTTAATAAATACTTGTTTCCTTCCTTCCTTTTTTCCTTCATAAAAAAGGAAACAAAGTGAGGTCCACTGATTTGGGGAATGGCTAGACAAATTGTGGTACACGAATGTAACAAAATATCATTGTGCTCTAATAAATGATGAAGTGAAAGAATTTAGAGAAACCTAGGAAGGCTTGGATGAACTGCCCAATCTCTCCCTATCTACAGGCTCCTCTGCTCCCAAGTCTTCATTCTTCTGAAAAAAAAAAAAAGTCTTCCCGGGGCAGCTAGGTGGCGCAGTGGAGAGAGCACCAGGCCTGGAGTCAGGAGGGCCTGAGTTCAAATTCGGCCTCAGACCAGACACCTGCTGCTTACTAGCTGTGTGACCCAGGGCTTAACCCCAATTGCCTCACCCCCCCCAAAAAAAAATCTTCCCAAAGGCCTATCATTGCCTCAAGCTAACATCCTATATCCTCCTATATCCTCTACCCACCCCCAGTCAAACTCACAGAAAAAGCTGTCTGCACTCATTGCCTCTACTTTCCCCTCTTTGCAGTATGACTTCCAACCTCACTGATCGACACTCTCTCCAAAGCGTCAGAAATGTTTCCATTTTTTAAAAATCTGAACTTAACACACACCAAGTAAAACCATCATTTCCCCAAACAATGCAGAATGGGAGGATCACCTGAGAAGCTCCCTCCAAAGTTCCCGCGGCCAAATCCAATGGCCTTCCCAATCCTCATCCTTCTTGGCCCCTCTGCAGCCCACGACTGCTGATTCCCTTTTAGATGCCTTCTCTTCTCCAGTTTTTTGCAGTGCGCTCTTGGTTTTCTTCCTACCTGTCCGGTTCTTCCCGGATCATCATCTATATCCCAGCCCCTACTGTGGGGGCACCCCCAGGTTCTGCCCTAGGCTCTTTCCTCTTCTCTTTACACCCTCTCAGGGGGCCCTCATCCATCGCACAGGGCCAGTTACTGTCTCTGCACTGAGGGCCCCAGGCCTTTACCTCTCTTCTGAGCTTCACAGTCTCGTTACCAAATGCCTGAACATTGAACTGTTGAATTTGAATTTGCAATGTTCACTGCAAACAGGATACCCATTAGTTACCTCAACCTCAGCATGTCCCAAATCACGTCCTACTTCTCCCCAAGCCCATACTTGACCCCTCAATTTCTCTCTCCTCTGAAGGAACCACTATTCTCCCAGTCACCGAGGTCAGCACCTCCAGGGTCATCCTGGACATCTTTGCCTTGTTGATCCAACGGTAACTCCCCCAACCACAACTCTGCACCTCTCTCTTTCTCTTCGTTCACCCTGCCGCCACCCTGGTCTGGTCCTTCTCACTTTCATTGCTGCAATAGCCTGCTGGTGGGTCTGCCGGCCTCAAGTCTCTCCCGCCCCAAACCAGTCTCTATACAGATGCCAAAGGGATCTCCTAAATCACAGCTCTGATCATGTCACTCCCTTGCTCCATTAACTCCATAAGCTGGCTCCACCTTCCCTTTCCAGCCTGATCCCACACCCTACAGTCCAGCCACCCTGGCCTTTGTGCTGATCCTCATATAGGTCACCGTTGCACAGGCTGGCTGTCCCCATGCTTGAAATGAGTCCGCCCTCACCTCTGCCTTCTTCCAGGCTCAGCAGGGGGCCACCTTCTCCAGGAGGCCTTCCTCAATCCTTCCCCTTGGAACTACCTTGTATTGTGCATATGCTTGTCTGTGTGTATGTTATACATGTTGTAGGCTTCTGGAGGGCAGGGACTGTTCCACTTAGCACTCTGCATTCCTACACCTAGCACAGTTCTACAAGAAGCCTTCCCTTTGTCAATCACCTCCAGTTTACCCTGTGCAAATCTTGTCCGTACATCATTGTTTACAGGTTGTCTCCCCCTCCTGACAGGGATTGTCTTTTGCCTTTCTTTGTACTCCCAGAGCTTAGCACAGTGCCTGGCACACAGTGGGCATTTAATAAATGTTTGCTGACTGACACATTGTAGGAACTGAAGGGGGGGGAATGGAATAAGCATTTAGATAGCACCTACTGTGTGCCAGGCCCTGCACTAAGCATTTTACAAATATGATCTCATTTTATCCCCAATACAATCCTGGGAGGTAGGTGTTATTATTATCCCCTTTAACTAAGGAAAATAAAGGCTGAGCAATTTGCCTAGGGTCACAGAGCTAGTAAGGCCAGATCTGAACTCAGGACCTCTTCACTCCAGGCCCACTGCTCTATCCACCGAACCACCTCGCTGCCTCTAAATCAACAGATGTCAGTTGATAGCTTATAATAATAAACATAATAATGTTTAAAAAAAACTAAAGTAAAACTGAACCCTCAATAAATGTGATGATTAATCTTGGTCCCAGGGAACAGATGACAAATGACACCTCCCTCCTTTCAGGTCTCCCTGGACAGGGAACACTGCACACATTGTCAGATTTACTCACTGCAATGGGGACTCTGCTTAACTTTTTGAAAAACTTTGTTTTGCTTTCTTACAAGGAAGGGCCCATAGTGAAGGGGGAAGGAGAAAAGGCAAATCCAGAAATGAATGTGGTAGAAAAAAAGGATCAATAAAACTTTAGAAATATGTGGGGTTGTAATATTTACAATATATAACATATATAATATATATTGTACATATAATATATATAGCTTATAATATTCTGTCTTATTCTGGGGAAGTAAGTCAAAGAAAACTCACTGGTTAACAACAAATGCCAACATAAAAAAGTAATAAGATAAAAAGGTAATACAATAACAATAATAATAATGCTATAAAAATTTAGCACCTGCCAAATATCTCACAAGACATGGCCTGGTGGCTACGATCACACACCAGAAACTCACTGCCTTTCACAGTCTGACAAATAACTACAAACAGAGACCTCAAAAACTGCTGAAGATTTTGACCAATAACTCCTGCTTGAGCCAGATCGTGGTCACAGATTATAGAACTTAAGAAGAAGGATGTTAATAGCTCTCACCATCCCCAGTCCTGGGTCTTCAGCTTCCACAGAACAGAGAGCTTTCCCAGTAGCGAAGTGGGAGAGCAGACACAAAGCTGCGGGTAAAGGGTGAGGTGCTGTAACACCCCCAGTCCTCTCCTGCGAGCCTCTGGAGAATAAGCTCATAGCCTGATGTTTTTATTCAACTACAGAAAGCAGGCATTTTAGCCACCTATTCAGAAGCCTGGAGAATACCGAATGGAAAAGAACAATAGCAACATAGCAATTTATCCCAGGACAGTTTCTATTGGAACGTCATATGCGAATGAAATAATAATAGTAATAATGATAATGATACTAGTAAGAACAACAACAGTCACCTTCACAAAAGTCCTCTTTTGTCTGAATGCAGACTGAAGCACGCATTTTTTTACTTTCTTTATGATTCTTGGTGTTTTTGGTTTGCATTTTCTTTTGCAACATGGCTAATATGGGAATGTTTTGTATGACTGCATGTATACAATCTATGCCAAATTGCTTGCCTTCTCAAGGATCGGGCAAGGGAGGGAGGAATGGAGAGAATTTGGAACTCAAAATTTTAAAAAATGAATATAAAAATGTGTTGATGTGTAATTGAGAAAACAATAAAATTATGATTTAAAAGTAAAGGTAATAAACATTTAATGACTGCACATAATAAAAATAATTAACAGCTTTCATATGCAAAAAAAAAATCACTCTCCTTTGATAATCTCATTGTGGTGTGTTAATGGGACTATGCCACCAAAGACCAAGCTCTAACAGGTGCCATCGAGCAGAAAAGACACCGAGTATCAGACCAGAAACAGGCTGCATATTCTCAAAGGATCACCACAGGTCATTTCAAAGAGGATTATACCAAATGAATTCCATCTGCTAAGGCAGAGGGGCTGCAATCGATGCTGGGGGAAGAAACACTCACAAAGACAAGAGCACAGATCCCTAAACTGCTGAGGAGAGTAATAACAAGGTTCACATTTCTAGAGTGTTCCACAATGCACAAAGCACTCTGGTGACAAAAGCCCTATGCCCCCATTTTATAGACAAGGAAACTGAATACAGGGGGTAACGTGACTTGCCCAGGGTCACACATCTAATAATTGTAGCGGCTGGAACTTGAACCTAGATTTTCTGACCTCAAGCCCATCTGATGTTCTTTCCAAAGTACTTATTTGTCTTCCTCATTGCAAAATAGTTTATAATAATCTTGTTTCTATAATGAAAGCTTCTCTTCTTAAAATTATCACCCTTTTCTGAGATATAGGAACAAAACTGCACTAAAAAAAAAAAAAAACCTTCCTCAACAGAACGGGGTTCCTGTTCATGCTTTGATCTGCAAAAACCAACCTATATATTTACACATACGTCGTAACTAATAGCAAAGAACGGCAAATGTTTCTTCCTTAATGGCACAACCATCTGCCTGGTAAGCCAATAACTGCAAGTACACCAGGTTTCAGACTAACTAAACAGGCGGGCTTATGGGGCTTGTGCACGGGGCCCTCTGGCGACTCGCATTTACCTCTTTTCTGCTGGATGTCTTGGGAGCCTCCTGCAAAGGAGTCTGGTTGAGCAGGTGTCATGGTGCTCTGGTGGAGGGCAGAGTCAGAATTGGTCCTGGCAGAAGACGAGACAGACTGTTAGCTTCCCCAGCTTCAGAGAGGATGAACCAGCAGGGCTCCTGTTTTACTGCCCCTCTCCCTTCCCTGCTCTGCCAACCCTGACCCCACCTATCACCCTACTGAACCGAAGTACAAACACCAGGGCCAGACTTCAAATCCGTTCAACACGCACTTCTTAAATTCCTACAACATGCCCAGCCCTGAACCGGGGACACAACAGTCCCCATCCTCCAAAAGCTCACATTCTACCGTGGAGAAAAAACACATGCAAAATATGCAGAGAAAAATTCTTGGAGGGGAGGGGGCTAACCCCTGGAAGATTCCAAAAAAGCCACATATTGGACAGTGGCACCGGATTGGACACTTGAAGGAAGCTAGAAATGCCAAGAAGCAGAGACGAGGAAGAAAAGCACGTCCCATTGCCCGTGCAAAGGCACAGAGACGACAGGCCAGTCTGGCTGCAGAGGGGGCCCTGTCTTGGGCCCTCTTCTCTTCTCCCTCTGGTGATTTCATCAGCTCCCAGGGAGTTCATGATCATCCTGTGCTGATGATCCTCTGATTACTTAGACAGCCCTAACCTCTCTTCCAAGGTCCAGGTCCACATCTCCAATGGTCTTCCGCACACTGCACCCTGGGACTGACCTCATGATCTTTCCCCCCAGTCCCCTGCCCCTCTGGAACTTCCTCCTTGCTGTGGAGGGCAGCACTATCCTCCCGGGCCTTCACGCTGCTCCCACTCTCTTCCTCTCATCAAACAGCAGGCACCTTCTCTGGCACATAGCCCCCTCTCTCCTCTGCCACTGCCATAAGCCCAAAGCAGGTACTTCAGACCTAGACTAGGGCAAGAGCTGCTGCATGGTGTGTCTACCACAAGGGTCTCCCCTCTCCAGTTCATCCTCAACTCAGCTGTCAAGGTATTCTTCCTAAAGCATAGGTCTATTTTCTTGTCGTGTCTGACTCTCCATGACCCTGTGACAGGATTAAGTGCCTTGCCCAGGCCAAGATCACACAGCTAATAAGTTAAGTGTCTTAACCCTGTTTGCCTCAGTTTCTCATCTGTAAAATGAGCTGCTTGAATCACTGGCTGGGGCCACTTCCTTTGGCGAAGCCCTAAGGAGAGTCTCTCCTAAACCACCATAGTTATACCTCTCTCTCTCTCTCTCTTTTTTTTCCCTTTGGGTGAGGCAATTGGGGTTATGTGACTTGCCCAGGGTCCCACAGCTAGTGAGAGTATCATGTGTCTGAGGTCAGATTTGAACTCAGGTCCTCCTGACTTCAGGGTCGACACTCTATCCACTGTGCTACCTAACTGCCTCTCTCTCTTTCTCTATCTTAAAGCAGACACCAGAACTGGGGGGGAGGGGGAAAGAAGGGAATGACTGTCTCTTTCTCACACACATACCCATATACAGAGACACAGACACACAGACACAAAGACACAGACACAGACACAGACACACACACACACACACACACTTCTGTGACCCCTTCAGATTTCTCGGTATGGCTGACAATAAGCCTCCTTGTATCTCAATTTTAGCTCAGGGATAACATCACCTCCTGAGCAAATGTATAAAATACTCAGAAGACGAAATGACACCAATAAACACTAGGAACCAAGTACAACAGTATCAGTACGGAAACATTCTGGCGACCAGTCTCAGCGATTAAAATCTGTATGACATGACTCAGTCCTTCCTCTTGGCGTCAGGGTGTCAGGGACCACCGCACACTACTCCCCAGAATCCTCACCTAATAAGCAGCGTTTCAATAGCCCTCCCAAATGGCAGAGAGGAGGCTGGTAACAGATTCCTCAGAAAAGGCCCAATGAAACAGGCTCGGAGTCAAGAACTGACAGAAAGGGGCTTCTGGACACTCAACAATCAGCCAATCAGGCAAAACCAAATAAATGAAGCATGCGCATGCCAGTGCCCACAAACGGCTGCTAAGATGGCAAATTATCAACCTGATGAGAGATCAGGGCCAAGAGATTCACAGCGAGAGCTGTGGAGTCAGTGACTCCCTGAACACACGAGATCACCCTGGTGGGGCCCTGGGCCTGAATCGGACCCTGATACACACACGTTATGCACTAACCTTCTCCAGCTTGTATCTGATGGAGGTGACAGATAGACGGTCCCATATGGACAGCTGTCCACGTGATTTGATGATGTAAGGGGAAAACAACCAAATAGCCCACGCTTAGCGGCAACTTGACCCCCCCCAAGGGATAACTTTAGCTTTCCCATTCTGATTCAATATGTTTTCAGCCAAAAGGACAGAAAATCATATCCTCAGCAAGGTAGGCTTAGTCTAGAATGGTGAATTAACAAGAAAAGGCATGAGAAAAGAGAGTGGACTGAGTAGTGGGCCCCTACTACCAAACAGGCTTATACATCCTTCTGTACCCGGTTGGGAAAGGGTGGGAGCTGCTCTCACTCTGAGGCATCTTCCTCTCGGCCCTCTCCATTTGGCTCTGTGCCCCTTCTCCCTATCCACCACTACAATGTGTTTTCCCTGGTGGTACAACTCGGTTCCGCCTACCACTCAGCACTCTCCTCCTGTGAACACACATGTGTGGGCTGCAGCCTTTCCAGGCAAGGGGAATGTGGTCATGAAATGTGGGGTGTCTGGGTTCAGCTGACTCCTTCCGAGGGGTCTTCGCCTCCTCCCCAGTTCTGAACTCAGCCTGCCGGCGCTGTCCCCTGGGCAGGCCAGTGCTTAGGGCTGCTCCTGACTGGCTGTAAGCTCCAACAGTTCCTGGAGAAAGGGCCTCTCGGGCCTCACGCCCAGAAGCCCAAACCTCAGACTCTAATGCTGCTCACATTACAGCAAGGACGGGGAGCTTCTGGGGCAGGGAAAAGAGCTGGTCCCACACCTTCACAACAAGGTCTGTAAGGGTCTGTTCTACCGGCACTACTAACTGCCCCCTTGTCTTTGGGCTTCAGGTGCCCCTGTGTAAAACGGTTTCTAACAGCCCTTTTGGTCCCACTAGCCTATGCACTAAGGCCCCTTCCAGCGCTGGCATTCTATGCTCTAAGATTCTTTTGCTCTCAAATGTTCCAAGGTTCTTCCACATTTGACAGTCTATTCTATAGAACAGACTCTCCCAGCCCTTTCATTGTTGGGTTCCACAATGACACCTTGATTGGCTGCTTGTCCCCCAACCCTCCAGGGAAAAGGATATCTGCCGTCCATGTTTATCCACCGACAAAGGGCGCCTGTGAGGAGACCCAAGGCGGTTGCGGTCCCGATACACTCTGTCCACTAGACCATGATGCCGAGTTGTCCGGCTGGTATCCAGGCCTGATGACTGAAAAGGAGTCTGGAAAGGGAGGAGGGGAGAGGAAACAGAGAAAGAGAAACCCATACAACAGTTACCAGCTGCAGAAGCCAGAGGGGAGCAGCCTCCCTCCACCCTATTTAGTTAAACGAGGGAATTCAATTTTCCTTCACAGTTCCCTTTCTTACCTCCCCCATCCCGACCCCAACCCTTTAAAAGCCATGTCCAGTCTCTTTTGGTCTGGATCAAAGTCAGGGGATACCCAAAGGGCCCTTGAGCAGAATGCATCACCAAGCAGAAAGAGGGAAACAGATGAGGTCCGGTCTCCTTCCACATCCATCATTTCTTCAACCCTCTAAGGCCCTCAAACCCTTTGAACATACTTGAAATGATAGAAATAGAAGAAATAGAAAGATGCCCAGGAATCTGCTGAGAGCTGGTGCATGGAAAAGGATAGGAAAAGAAGGTAGGGCAGGGCAAGGCAGGGCAGGGCAGGGCTGGGCTGGGCTGGACCGGGTGCAGGAAGCATGCACGGGGCAGTGTGCATCCAGATGGAGCATCCAGATGGAGCCAGCTATAGAGTGCTACCCTAGGGTTGGCAGCAAGAGGGGCAAAGAGAAATGCAAACAGGGCCCAAATGATTTCAACACCTTCTGCCAGGGTAACTCCTTGATGAGTCGCTCTCCCTTTTTCTGGCATCTCTCTCTCTGGCCCCAACTTCTCCCTTCTGTCTCCTCTTCCCTCCCCACACAACCACGGTATTCTCAAGTCCCTGACAAGGCACAAAATTCTTTGTGCTGTGAGTGGTCAGCTGATATCTGCAGCTCGCAGGCTCTGGGTGAAGTCCAAGGCTCTTCAGAGGAAGTTCAAAGCCTAAATTCCTAAACTGGATATTTCGCTGACATTTTTCTTCTTGAATTCAGTCGGGCTAAAGGTTGCCCCTCAATCTCTGTCCCCGGTGCCCTACTTCTTTTTTTTCCCCAGTGTCCTACTTCTAATGGACCAAGATTAGAGGGTCCCGGATATCTGCCAGTTGTACAACCCTTGGCAGCTTGCCCCAGGGCTGGGGTCCTGGCAACTGGCAATAGACTCTTAGCCCAGTGAGTTTTTCCAAGCAAGGACGTGTGATCTTTGGATGCATCTCCTGGTCACTGTCATAATATCTAGCCAAAGGACATAAGCACACAGTGGCCTCTGCCTCCTCTCCAACTGTCCCTTGCTATCAGGTGACATGATATGTACTTTCTCTTGTCATGCCAAGCAAAGATGTCAGAGGAGGCCCGGGTCTCCACCTGGAGGTCTGGAAATCTTAAATGTGCTACTTCCATTTGCGGCCTGAATAAGACAAATCTACTCTCCTCCACCATCTCGCTTGACTTCAGGCTCTGTGTGCTCTTTCAAAACTGTAGGCAAAAATCTATTTCAATAAAAAAACACTGCTCCCGTTTTGTAACAATGATTTAGATTTCTATTCTCCGTCACAAATGAAGGTTTTGTTCTTTCTCTGTAGACCTGATCTTTTTATATTTAGCCAATTCTGCCTCTACCTCACCGCCCTTCCCAACACACCTCTTCTGTACTTTTAATAAAGCAGAACCCCAAAGGACCACTCCCTCCCATCTTGTTTACATCTCTGTCTGTAACGCAGCACCACGAAGAATTTGGGGGAAGTTGGAATGACTATGCGCTGCCCTCCCACCCCCTACTTGCCTCTCCAGGGGAAATGTCAATTGCCTTTTAGGGGTTCCAGAAGGATGGGCACTCTCTGGTTTGATTTGTAAGGTCAGAATCCAGGACATTTTTCACCAGGAGTTCATGACAAACTAGATTACAAGAGTCCCAGTTTCCTTTCAACTAAAACCACCCATTCAGTCCTAGGCACAAGAGGAACAGACATGGGAGAAAGCCTCAGGGAGAAGAGGGAAGCTGTGACTGTCACCCTCTAACTGCTGCGATATTCTTCCCAGGTTAACTAGAAAAGATTGAGTTCTTCTCCAAGATTTTTTTCTTTAAAGAAAAACATGCCAACATGGTGCACATGCTTAGATACTGTCTGATTAAACCATGGGCTAAAACAGCTCGGAAAGAGCTGCTGCTGTCCATCAAGGAAGCAGGGAGTGTGGGATAGACTGTGATTAGGTCCAAAGAGTCTATCAACTAAACAATACGCATTTTTCAAAATTGGGATGCGGAGCAAATCCATTTTCATTTGACAGACCAGAACAACTCTTTGGGAGCTGTAAGGGTGCGTCAACCAAACAGGGCGCATACCAAGAGAGAGAGAACAGGGAGTGTCCAAATACGTATCTGCTCAGGGAATCTCAAGCCAGTCCCAAATACGTATTGGCACCAGCCTCAATACACGTTTACCAAAGAGACAGGAGCTGCTCCCAAGGTCTCTCCAAGAATTCCGCTGCGCTGCAAATGCAAAGAACCGAAACTTTCAGAGATCCCACTCGTCCACCCTCCTCCCCACTTTGGGCACACCCAAGGACCTGGAGCCCTGCCCCTCCCCACCTGCTAATCACTGCACACAGCTTTTCCCAACCCTTTGGCTATGGCTCACAAGGGGAAGGCAGCCAGCCCCCTGAGAAAGAGAAAACTGTGTGGCACCATGGGTGCCCCAGCAGAAAGCCTCAACCCAAGGCTTCTGGCCAGCCAATATTCAGGAGTTTTATAAAAACGCTTGCTTTGTCAGGGAATGAAATGGTGACTAGCAAGAAGAACGCTAAGAAGCACAGCAGAAGTCAGGAAGGAAATTTGCTGGGGTAAGGGATAGGTAGGAGGGAAATCAAGAAAGATCATTTTAAGGAAATCAAAATGATTTAATTCAAATGCATACAGCAGAATGAAAACATAAACATATATAAATAAATGATTATGCACATGAAGTTACCCGGGGGTAAGGAATGAGGGGAAACAGGTCACTTGGAACTGGATCAGGAGATCCTCAAGGGGAAAAGGCTGAGAGTTTCTGAGCTGGGCCTTATCCACAGCTTTCTGCTTAGCCTGTTACTATAGACTGCTAAGTCTAAAGACCCAAAGACCTAGGCTGTATATGCTAAAACCATTTTTCAGCAATGGGAAAGGTATGGTTCATAAAAGGAACAACTTATTTTCCAATTAGTCATGCCTCTGTCCAAGTACAGCCCAAAACGTTCCCAAACAGGACCCCAGGCCGAGGCCCAGTTTTCACACTGGTCCCCCAACACATACATCACCTCCATCTGCAAGTCAGTAAAAGAAGGAATGAGTGAGACCCAGGTTGCTGGATCTGAAAACAGGCTTCTCCTTTGTTTTGGTGAGTGGAATTTGTCTTTAATTATCTCTAACACAGACAGTAAGGTGCTAGAACATGCTCTGTAGAATAATTTGTTAGGGCAATGACATCTTAGTAACAAGAGACTTCACCAGAGGGACCTGCCAAGAAATATTTGCAGAGAAGTGGGGTCAGGCTGCTGGGTTTTTCTTCTGAGAATTACAGGGCTTGTGGATTAGTCAAGAAAAAAGAAGCCAAGTTCCAAAGTCCCCAAACAGTTACTGCTGCTGGTAGAAACTGACCAACAGGTGTAGTGGCTGCTGAAACACTCTTGTTCAAATAGTATTCTCACCATGGATTCTGTTGACAGGGGAAAGACCCGAGGAGGATCCAGGGAGTCTCAGCCAGAGCAGAGACAGCCCCTGCCTGGCTGCACTCTTTTTCCTCCTGTCCCCCAAGGAGGAGGGCTCTGGCAATCATCTGGAGACCCCCGAAGCCTAAAGTGTCTCTCAGTGCACACCATTTGATACAGACACACAACAGATTTGCACTGCTCACCACGCAGCAGCCAACCTGTGTTACGGAGGCTGTCAATGGGCGAGGGGTCGACTTTTCCAGTCCCTTGGTGGAGTGGAGTTGAGAGCAGAGGCTAACTGGCTCAAATAGCAGAAGCAGGAAAGGATACTCACCTGGAAGGGCAAGTCCATGGAGCTGCTCCCAATCTGATTCACATTGGGCAGGGACCCTCCATAGTACTGGCCTCGGCTCTGTCCCAGCTGGAGATACTGTGTTTTCTGTAACTGTAACTAAAAGGAAGAAACACACTGCAGCTGCGACAAACAGGGAAAGGGCTCAAGTCCCCAAACACACCTCAAATAAAATGTAAGATTAAAAAAAAAACAGTCAACTTAACCTAACTGGAAAGGCCGTTTAAAAAAAAAAAGCATGCTACAATTAAGGGGCAGCATCCTATAAGGAGGAGAAAAGTAGGAGGCAAAACCTCTGGGTTCTAATCCTGGCCCTGTCACCGATTCACTGTGGGGTCTTGGCCCCTTTGGGGGGCTCAGTCTCCTCATTTGTAAAATGGGGCTGGATGAGGTGGTCCCCAAAGTCCCACCCATTCTTCAGTTTGTCTTCCCAAGGCCCCTCCATCTCTGATGCTCATGCTAAGTTCAAAGGCTCCTGCCAGATTTGACATCTTATGTTCTATCTGCCAAGTTCCCTGATGGCTCTTACATTCTATGAGTCTAACTCATTAAATAGATTCAATTACTGGATTGACTAATTACACGAAGACAAATATGGGGTGCAAGCGAGGGAGATATTCCTGAGACCTTTTAGTCCAAATTCACATATCCTTGGCTTTGCAGTTCCTCCTGAGATTGCTTCAATTTCGATCCCAGTTCCAGCTGTCATACCCTAAAAAATGGCACTCTCTTTCATCTCATTGCAGAAATTGAATGTAAAGGTTAGAAGCAAACTGAGGACAGAGGTAGCGACTGTTAGTCTCAGGCAGGACAGAAAATGCCAAGGGCCAGATCCTCATATGTACACCACCCTGTAAGAGCACGGCCTTCTTTGCATAATGTGGATATTTTTGAATAGATGCAAGATGCAACCAAGCTAAGAGGACTATTACAAAGAAGGCCCTTCAGCCCCAGGGAGCCATTTCTTCCCACTGCCAAAGGCAGTTACAAGAAAACAAGGCAAAATCTGACCTTTGATGCCTTTGATACAGGAGAAACAATCTGTTTAATGACAGCCTATCAAGCTTCCTTAACAGAAGTCCAGAGATAGAGGAGATATTTTGCTTGGAAAGCACTGCACATCTCTTAAAAAACACACACACAAATACACAAACCTGTGTCCTATGTACATGGCCATGCAGATTAACGTATATTAATCAGACCAAAAGATGCATTTCTAAGGCAATCTCTCTGCTCCCTCTAACCATTTCCCTGCCCCTCCATTCAATAAGGAATGGACCCTTCACTTGTTTTCCATCTCTCTCACTTGTTGTCAGGTCACATTTGCTCTTCTTAAACTCAAAGAACATCATGCCCTTCCCTTGCTGCAGGGTAGCACACTCTCCTTTTGGGTCAGGCTCCTCACTGCTCAGCCATCACGGCTCTCCTTGCCAGTCTGGAGATGCTTCTTCCCAGCCACCCAGCTTACAGTACCTTAGAGATCTTTCTGGGAGTCACTTATATACCGGTCTACCCAAGGAACATGGTTGCATAGCTACTGGAAGGAACTGCAGAGCATGTCTAGTCAAAGTCCCACCTTAAGCCTGAATGTCCCTCTAGAGCCCATGACAATGATGAAGCTTCTATCAGAGTATTTCTAATGATAGGTCATTTACTACAGGGCTGCTGTAATGTAATCAGAAGCTGCTCCTAATGGTCAGCCCCAGTCTGCCTCTCTGTGCCTGTTCTTCATTGACTCAGTTCTGGGGTCTGAGACCACAGAGTCCAAGCCAAATCCTTCCTCTAAACAACAGACCTTCAGGTATTTGAAGACAGGGATCACATTCTTCCTGCCTACTCCCCAAGTTTTCTTTTCCAACCTATGAATCCACTCAATTTATCTTTGTATGTTTTTAGTAACTTATGGATAGGTGGCCATTCTGGTCACCCTCCAGCTGGTCAATAACTCTTCATCAGAATCGAAGGGTTTATTTCTTTTTTTTTTTCCTCCACTTTCTCAGCCTCTAGTAGGGCACTCAGAGATGGGTAGTGATCAAGTCTTTTATAGTCGGAACGTTCAATTCTTGGACACTATGCAGATTTGGTTGCTAAGGTACAACACTGTGTATATCAACAAAACTGTCTCAATTTCCCTCACAAACAGATGCTGCCAGTGCACTCTGCATGCAGCCTCAGGCTGCTCACAAACAAGGCTCAAAAGCAATCTCCTTTAAAAATAAGGCATCTCAATCACCGGTGGCCTGTACTGGTCCAACTCCACCAGACCTCTCTTGTTGACTTACTTAAGGACTTGGGAACCATCGTGGGCAGAAAGAGGACCTTCTCTAAGCTCGGCTGCTGATGTAAACATGGGATCTGAATGACATCAGGATGTTTGCAAAGTGCCGACCACTCTTCTGAGGTAGGTAATACATGGATTACTATCTCAATTTTACAGATGAAGAAACAGAGGCTTGGGGAGATCAAGTGAATTGCTCATGATCACAAAGCTACTAAGTGTTTGAGGGAGTATTCAAATCTGGAGTCAACATACTACTGGAGGAACTTGATCATTTCAGTATTGACATTCTCACTATAAATAAAACCAGAAGATATAAGGAAGTCGAAGTTATATGGAAGGATGGTTCACAAGTTTCCCTTGGAAAGTTTAAATAAAGGAGCTAGTGGAGCTGGTTTTATTGTGATCAGGGACAACCAGAAACATAATTTCTTAAGCTATTTGATCATCTTACATTGTAGTACTCATGGGGAATATAACAAAAAGGCCACCACTGGCACCACCACCACCATCACTACCATCACCCACCACAATCATGTAGCTTATTTAGCAAGAGGATACAAAAAGATAAGATAAAAAGGTAGAAAAATTCTAGGAAGAACTCTAAAAGGCTCTCCAAATTATATTAACATATACTTTACTATTCAATGATTTTCATGCAAAGGTGGGCATGGAAAGGACAACAAAAAAGTCAAAAAATATGAAAAAAGCCAAAGAACTGTAGCCTATGAGAAGTCCCACACTTATATATTAAAAATATTTTCTTCAAAAAGAGAATCAGGAAGTGTTAGACATAGCAAACAGCAAATAATATCATCACAAAATCTATCTTGAAGGACAAGAAATGGCTGGTTACTGATATGGAAAGTGATTTCTGATTCAGCTGTATGTATATAGTCAGACCATCAACTTGTTAAAGAGATAAAAATCAATACCAAATTAGAAAAATAAAAAAGAGAAGATGTGATGTGAAAACAAAACAGTGCGGGCCTTCTTGGCAAGATGGCTGCCTAAACAGGAGGCAGACAGCAAGCTCCCACATACCTACTGCAACAAAAACCTGAAACAGCAGGATGAATCATGATCAAGAAGTCCAAAGAGAAACTACAATAAGTGATTTCTTCCACTCTTGAACTACACAAAAGTCAACCAGAAGCCCAGAGGCAATAGGAAATAGGATCACCAGCAAAGAAGCAATGTACAGGCAACCAAATCTGTAGCCTCCCACAATGACTACATGGGCCAGAAACACATATAGCCTTCAGAGCTCTGTGGTCAGTGACAGAAGGGGAGAAGGGCTCCAAGAGAAAGCCCCAGGGCATTCAGAAAGCTCCATATTAGTCAAAAAGCTCAAGGGTGGGGGATTTGGAAGTCCCTGGTAGCCACCAGCACATGATCAGACCAGAACATATCAGATAAAGAGCTAGCGTTCTGCTTTTTTTTCCCTTCACTTAATGGTATTGTGTTTTTTTCCAATTATATGTAAAGATAGTTTTCAACATTCATTTTTATAAGATTTTTAGTTCCAAATTTTTGTCCCTCTTTTCTCTCTTCCCCTCTCCTCTCCCCAAGACAGCAAGCAATCTGAATACAGGTTATACATGTACAATCATGCTAATTATATTTTCCACATTAGTCAGGTTGAGAAAGAAGAATCAGAACAAAAGGGGAAAACCATGAAAAAGAAAAAAACAAAAAAGTGAAAATTGTATGCTTCTATCTGCATTCAGACTCCATAGTTCTTTCTCTGGATGTGAATAGCATTTTCCGTTATGTGTCTTTAGGAATTGTCTTGGATCATAGTATTGCTGAGAAGAGCTAAGTCTATCATAGTTGATCATCACACAATGTTGCTGTTACTGTGTACAATGTTCTCCTGGTTCTGCTCACTTCACTCAGCATCAGTTCATGTAAGTCTTTCCAAGTCGTTCTGAAATCTGCCTGCTCATCATTTCTTGGAACAGCATTACATTCATATACCACGACTTGTTTAGCCATTCCTCAATTGATGGGCACCCCTTCAATTTCTAATTCTTTGCCACCACAAAAAAAAGCTGCTATAAATATTTTTGTACATAGCATTCTGTCTTTAGAGAAACCTATAGAGGGCTCTGAATTTCCATGGAGGTCTAATTCCAGGGAGACAAAGGTCAGCACCAAAACCCAGGTGAGCTATGGCAAAATAAAGTAAGGGCAGCCATCCCCCTCAAAGTGCAGCACAAGGTAGAACCTGACACTGGCACAAAGTCCCAATTCAGAAAATAAAGCTGGAGAGACAAGTAAAACCAAAGACAAACCACTATAAAAATTACTGTACATCTAAAGGACCCCCAAAAGAAGGAAGAGGATAATTCCAAAACAATAGTAAGCAGAGACTTACAAGGAAAAATAGATTTCCTAAAAGGACTACATGAATACCTAGAAGAAATGAAGCAAGAGATTAAAAAAAAAAAGAAATAAAAAGCTCTGGATGAACTGCTATCAGGAATCTCACATTTTCTTCTGTTGTTTTTTTTTTAATTTTGCTTTTGATTTAATGACTTTCTTTCTCACGGAATCACTGATTTCTTTTTGGTCAATTCTAACTTGTAATAATCCCAATTTAGAAATTCCATTACTTTGGTAAAGTTTACCACTTTCTCTTCAAAGCAACTTATTTTTCCCATTCCTTCACTGTCACACCTTGCCTGAAACCAAATGCAGGACTACTTATCCCTAACCCCTCACCTTATTCATCACACTTGGCTCTCAATGGCTTCTGGTTCCATCAAAAGATGAAGATTTACCAGCCCTGAAGAAAAACCTAACGCCACAGTGGAAA